AAGTCCAAGTTCCTAGCAAATTTTTTTGGTATTTTGGGAATATTTTGTTAAAATCTAGCAAAAAAAGAAAAGAAAAAGAAAGAAAGAAACAACTCAAAGATTCACAACAAAAATACAAAGGAACATACTTGAGGTCGCCTAACTCCAATTTCTTTTGAGATTTTACGGTATTTTGGAGCGATTTGCTAATACCTCGCAAAAAATTAAAAATAAAATCAAGATTCAACAATAAAATATACAACAGAAGAATAAATTAAAGGCTTAGAGATTGGGTATACAGGTAATCGTCTCAGCTGTGCATCAATTTGTTGGGTACGTTTGGAACGATCGACAGAGCTAAAAATTCATGGAATTCTGAACAATTTGCTCCATACATCAGAAACAAGAAGAAACCATGTACAGTCGAAATTCATCTACTACATCAATATCCCAGTACAAAGTCAAAGATTATATAAATAATCATTAGATTAATTATTTAAGAGCAAAGACTTATTGAAAATCAAGAACCCCCTCATTAAAAAGAAAAAAGAAGGGGGATATTTTTCATTGTACAACTTTCATCTCTCAAGACGTTACATGGACACAAAAGAAGATAATCGAACATTCACCTGTGGAAGTAGCAGACAACTACCATTTAAGTAATGAAATCATGAATTAATTCATACGAAGACCTTAACCTTATCGTCGGGTTCATTTTCTTCAATTTCAATTGTAGATGTTTCATAGTTTTCATCTGATGCATCCTCCTCTCCTAAGGGCTTCTCAGCATTTAGATTTTACTTGCCTTCATTGATAATTTCTTGATGTTGATAATTTTGATAAAAATCAATATACTATACATGGGTTCTTTTGAGTTTCTCCATTACTATTTTGATGTTTACTAAAAATAAAATAAATTCATGTTGAAATTCTGCTTATGGACATAAAAATTCAAGAAATTCCTTAAACCTTCTAGTGTGCGCGCGCGCGTGTACGATAGATGTCTAATGAGGAAATATTTTAAAAGAACCACGATGATCTTAGTAAACTTCTTAATCAAATCAACAAAATGAATATCAAAAGAAATAGAAACACACAAAATTGAGTGGGAATCCAAAAATGAGAAATATTACTAAACACCCACCACCTCCTTCCCAAACAATTCTGACATCGAGATGCAACCTTACACCATGTATAAGTAAAAATCATTAACTTTTTCCCATGGCTTTGCAGACATGAACTGATAACATTCTCTGCCAAAAGAAAATTCATTACACATAAGCACTGAAACACTTTGAAGACACATTTTTTGAGTATGCCTACAATATTATTCTTACATATAGCATAGAAAGCAACATTGTTTAAACCATCGCAAAACCTAATCCCTTTCATAAAGTCAAGCTGAATCAACCAACATCATGCAAACCTAATGGCAACTCCCCAACAGGTGATCCACAAATGAACCTAGACGTCCCTCTAAAAGTTGAAAACCTTGGGCATTAAAAGGATGACAATTTATTTGAGTGCTCCCACATAATCAACTCGCTTAACTTTTATTCCCTCTTCTAGAAAAGGTACAGACTAAAATCCCAAACTTAACAACTTAGAAATCAAACGGCAAGGAAAAAAAAAACACGAGAATCTAAAGAAAAGAATAGAGAATCTAGAGTTGTGTTGTATGTATAAATTTACTTTGCAGTCCATCGAGAAAGCCTGCAAGCATTAGTATGGTTGTAGGGAGTGTAATTCCTCTTCTTCAGAGCTGGGCTTCCCATTAGATTGCTCGGATTCAGCCACACAGTTCTATTTATTAGGTACTTTATCATAACTTGAATCTTTGACACTGTTGACTGTTCTGAAGGGAACTGAGACTAGACGTTCAAATTGATTTAGGGCTTATTGATAAAAAATTTGCTCCGTGCACAATTTTATTAAGTCCATTGATAAAAATTATAATTTATCTGCACAACGCGGACACCACACTCTGCGCTATGCGTAGAATTTTTTTCTCACACTCTGCGCTATGCGTAAAGTGAATGGGGAAAACTTGAAATTATGAAGGGAGAATATCTTCTATATGTAGGAAAATGTGTGAAATTGGCCATTTCAGACAATGAAAAGATATTTAATTTTCATCTATTCTACCATCGATTAATGTTGGCTGCTTAGCTAATGCAGTCAAAACCATGGATTTGCTTTAAATGCTTATGTCTGGCAAATGAGCTTCTAAGATTTTGATGGCAATGAAATGTTCAGCTTTGTTTATTGTCTTTCTTGGGATTATGTAGATATTCATGTTGGAGGTTTGTCTGTGTTACTGCACGGAGATAAAAAGGACAACCATGTGCTGTAATGTTTGGGGAAATTGTGAGTTTATTTTTTACTCGTATAATTTGTACTACATGTGCATTACGTACTTGGACAACGTGCAATAATTACTGGGAAATTCATTGTACTTTCTCCAAGGAGCAAATTATTTATCCCTAGAATCTTTAGTTTTTTTTTTCTTTCCTTCAACAAAGTTCAAGACATCCCTTCAGTTGTGTTAAAGAATGGAATTAGGAATTCACATATAGACTTATTGTAGATTGGTACATTGCCCAAACATGTGTGCAGTAGGTCATTTCAAAGAAGGAGACAAAAGTTTACCAATGCAGTCAAAATCACATTTACTTAAAATGCATTTAGCAAATGAGCTTCTATCAATATGATAACATGATGCGGGCAGCTTTATTTATGTAAAGCTTCATATAGGAGGTTTTAACATATACTTGCTATCATGTTAATGGAAATCGCGAATGCATTACTTGGCTGAGGTACAGTAACGTACTTGTTAGTTGGACGAGGGTGCATGAGCTTCTACTGAGAAAATGGTAGCTATTTTCCGTAAATATATCTCCTGAAATTTGAGGCAAAATTATATTATTTTTCTCTGTAAAATTGGATGGTTAGATTATGTTACCACACTTCAGATATTTTTACTTTCTTGTTTCAAAGTAAATTTTGGAGTTTAGGGAATGGATTTTGTGACTTATGTTCTGTAAATTAGATGTCTTAAAGCCTAAATGTGAAAGACAATAAATGGGGTTGTGTAATTTAGCTTGATTCTTTTTTTTTTTTTTTTTTTTT